CGAACGGCCATAACTTGAGAAATTGACTATGATGAGAATGACATGCCAACAATTGCTCTATAGAGTTATTCATCCACAATGACGTGTATCATCAGTGTGGCTCAAACACATCCACATATCCAGAGGGCAGCAAATGTACGTATACAGTATTATAGGATTCATTTAATATTTTAATTCCTTAAAATTATTTTTAATAGATTTATTTTCATAATTTTTATTATAACTGTTATATACCTTATCTACGAACAGTAATGACTCATAAATAATAAGCCTCATAAAGACGTTGGACACTATTGTAAGTAGGAGTAATATGCTGTCTAAGTAGTCCACGGCTAGCAGTGGTTTACCTACTTCACGCTGCTGGCGAGTATTGTATTTTGTTGATGTTATAAAAATTACCATTTCATTTCCAACCTCCATTTTAGTTATTCCTCATTCAGTAACTTTTTCTTGGTTACAACAACTATAAAAATGCATTGCCAATGATTTTTACTATAAAAATGCATTGCCAATGATTTTTACTATAAAAATGCATTGCCAATGATTTTTACTATAAAAATGCATTGCAAATTATTTTTAGTGTAAAAATGCCTTGCAAATGATTTTTACTATAAAAATGCTTTTCAAATGATTTTTACTATAAAAATGCATTGCAAATGATTTTTACTATAAAAATCCATTGCAAATGATTTTTACTATAAAAATGCATTGCAAATGATTTTTACTATAAAAATACATTGCAAATGATTTTTACTAGAAAAATGCATTGCAATGATTTTTACTAGAAAAATGCATTGCATATAATTTTTACTGTAAAAATGCATTTAGTGATCCGTAGAGTAATTTCACTTTGGAACGGTTGTTACAACTGAGAATTGGAATTTTTACAGTAATCTACGACATATTAAAATACATTGCAAAAATGCACTGCAAGGGATTTTTACTATAACAATGCAAGTTCAAGGTATAATATGCTGCTATTGGTTGTGTCATTATGCATCATTTAATCTATATCTTGGGAACACACATACATATATATAAGGTCAGAGTTTTTATACTATATAGATATTTAGTTCCTTATTATTGAATTATGTTAACGTCATCATTCAGAGATTGTGAGGAGATAATAAATAATGAACTCAACTGAAAAAAAGTTTACTCGGGCAGAAAATACTGAAATTCTATACCTATGAACACTACTATGTCCCAATCCTCATAAATAATAAATAAGTTGGACACTATTGTAAGTTGGGGTAATATGCTGTCTAAGTAGTCCACCACTAGCAGTGGTTTACCTACTTCACGCCGCTGGCGAGTATTGTATTTTGTTGATGTTATAAAAATTACCATTTCATTTCCAATCTATGTTTTGGTTATTCCTTATTCAGTAAACATTTTCTAAGTTACAACAGGTGGACACTGACATGATCGAGAACCAGAATGCAATGTGGGGTAGGTCATTGGCCGGTCGATGGAAACCTTGGGGCAAGGGTAGCGCTGTCTCTTTACACATTCATAAGTATATTTCTTTTTTACATGTGACTATAAAGTTAATTGTATAGATAACAATTCTAGATTATTCACATAGATTGGATTTATTTTTGTTTAATGGCATATCAACTCCTTATGGGTCATTTAATTTTGAAATGTAATTGAAGAAAATAAAAATAAGATGTTATTCTGCTTTCACAATTGAATACATGGTAGATGATACTCAGCTTTTGTTCATATACATGTTTGTATAGACATAATTACTAGAGACAGTGATATGTGTGATTTATGTTGTAGTTTTGTTGAAGTTTGTTGATTTTGTTTATCGGCATACCAACCTCTATGGGTTATTTAATGTCGAAATCTAATTAATTTTAACACAATTGCATACCTTCAACTACAGATAAAATGTATTGTTGGTCATTTTGCTATAAAATGTACTGTTGCTAATTCTACTATAATCTGGAGTTGAAATTAAATTTTAGTTCTTTTGTTGCAACGTGAGGCAGAGTTGGCGAACCAGTTTCAATAGATCAAAATGGAAACCGAGGAAAACGAAAGCATTACAAAAATATCAACTTCTTATGAGTCATTTAATGCTGAAATTTAATTCACTTGGGAGCTTTGAAGTAATAAAAATATGATGTTATTCTGTTTTCACAGTTGGATACATGGTAGATGATACTCAGCTTTTGTGCATATAAATGTTTGTATTGACATATTAATTTGGAATTGAAATTAAATTTTAATTCTTTTGTTGCAACGTGAGGCAGAGTTGGCGAACCAGTTTCAATAGATCAAAATTGAAACCGAGGAAAACGAAAGCATTACAAAAATATCAACTTCTTTATGAGTCATTTAATGCTGAAATTTAATTCACTTGGAGCTTTGAAGTAATAAAATATGATGTTATTCTGTTTTCAGTTGGATACATGGTAGATGATACTCAGCTTTTGTGCATATAAAAATATTAATTTGGAATTGAAATTAAATTTTAATTCTTTTGTTGCAACGTGAGGCAGAGTTGGCGAACCAGTTTCAATAGATCAAAATTGAAACCGAGGAAAACGAAAGCATTACAAAAATATCAACTCCTTATGGGTCATTTAATGTTGAAATTTAATTTACTTGGAAGCTTTGAAGTAATAAATATATATGTTATTCTGCTTTCACAGTTGGATACATGGTAGATGATACTCAGCTTTTGTGCATGTACATGTTTGTGTTGACATAATTAATAGTGGTAGCGAAGTGTGTTTTATGTTGAAGTTATATTTTAGAATAAAGTTTGATTTTAGGATATTATTTGAATTAATATTCTAAAAGAGTTCTTTCATGTTGGTTGTTTAGTTGGTTGATTGTTTAGCAACATATCAACCTCTATGGTTTATTTAATGCTGAAATCTAAATATTATGAACGTAATTGTATGACTTAATCCCCAGATAACATATATTGCTGGTCATTTTGCTATAAAATAGATACTGTTAGTCATTCTACTATAAAATAAATATTGTTGGTCATTTTTCTATATAAAATATATTGTTGACATTTTTACTATAAAAATGTATTTTTATACTTTCATAATGTTGTTTTTGTTTGGTGTTCACTATTTTCCCATAGCTAGGACCCTAACAGGTGCTACCACCCCAGGGTGCACTTGGGAATAACAGCTATTAAGAATTGGTTCAATAAGACTAATGATATTTATTTTAAATTAGTAGACCTTTTGACTAAAGTTTTATCGTCAAAATGTTTGTTATTATTAAGAGGAAAGACCAGAGTATTTTTTTAATTATTTTATTAAATTTTAAAATCCTTTCTAGGATGTGCGAAATTTTGGTTAAAAATCTTCTTTTTTTTACGTCAGCAGGTAGGTCAAAGTTTAGTATAAGGATTTTAACGTCTTTTTGCTTTAAGAATATTGTTTTGGAAATTCTTGCAAAAAATCAAATAATTCTTGGATTTCAATGCAATTTTCAGAATTTATTCACAAATTAATGAAATTGTTTTGCAATTTTTATTTTTAGAAAATCCTGGTAAAAATATTTTTTACATCTGTTACCCCCACTAACTTAATTTTATCAAATTTCGAGAAATTAAAATTTCAGCCAAGGAGTTCTGCTTTTAAGGAGTTCTGCATTTTAATTAATATAAATAAGAGCGATAACATTAATTAAAAGCATTTTAAAATTTAAAACATATCACAGATAATATTTTAAAATTATATAAAAATGCCCTTACGTCATTTTCTTAAATTATGTTTTACAGATAAAGTCCCTATAGAACAACATTAAATCTGTCATCAGGCTGTCAACCTGTCAAAACAGCTGCAGTCAGGTTAAAAAAAATGCATTTCTTCTGTGATATTTTAAACTTAAAATAAATAATATTTGTTCCAAATCAGATTAATTAAACTTTAAATCAGTTAATATTCCTCAAATAAAGTTTCAGAAAAGTATATTTTACTTTTGGAAGATTTTTAATAAAGAGACGACTGAAAGGAGAGCCAATCAGCTGTTTTAGAAGAAAAAACTAATTTCAGTCAATTTAAGATTTTTCATATTTTAAAACTCATTATTAAACCTTAGATATTGCGTTTTTGTGGTGGGCCCTAGATGGAAGAACTTGCCATCTGAATTATCTTTCTTCTTTTTTTCCCTTGGGTTTGTTTTGAAGAGGGTATCCGTATATTGTCATAATGGTAAATAACTGTTAACTTTCTGTATACTTTCGATATAATGCTTCGTTTACCTGATAAAGTTGCTAGATATAAACGTCTGTAGTGATGCTCTTTCCATTTTCCAGGAATTTGTAATGGACGACACTTTTCATATTCCATCAGACACAAAGAAAGAATTTCTGGGGGTGAAATCTTTGTTGACACGGATTAATTATCTTATTTTAACCAGTCTTTTTGGACATTAATGAGATATAGAAGAGAAAAATGGAATAAGAAAGAAAATCTATTGAAAAGAAAAACATAAGAAGAATTAAAAAGAAGAGGGAAAAAATGAGAAAGAAAATAGGAAGGAGAATAAGATTAAGAGAAAAAGAGGTACAAGATTAAGAATGAAAGAGAAAAGAAGAATACGTTGAAGAATGAGAAAGAAAATAGGAAGGAGAATAAGATTAAGAGAAAAAGAGGTACAAGATTAAGAATGAAAGAGAAAAGAAGAATACGTTGAAGAATGAGAAAGAAAATAGGAAGGAGAATAAGATTAAGAGAAAAAGAGGAACAAGATTAAGAATGAAAGAGAAAAGAGGAATACGAAGAAGAATGAGAAAGAAAATAGGAAGGAGAATAAGATTAAGAGAAAAAGAGGAACAAGATTAAGAATGAAAGAGAAAAGAAGAATACGTTGAAGAATGAGAAAGAAAATAGGAAGGAGAATAAGATTAAGAGAAAAAGAGGTACAAGATTAAGAATGAAAGAGAAAAGAGGAATACGTTGAAGAATGAGAAAGAAAATAAGAAGGAGAATAAGATTAAGAGAAAAAGAGGAACAAGATTAAGAATGAAAGAGAAAAGAAGAATACGATGAAGAATGAGAGAGAAAATAAGAAGGAGAATCAGAAGGCGAAAAAAAGAAAGAAAAATAAGAATGAAAGAAAAAAGGAAGGAGAATAAGAATTAGAGAGAAAATAAGAAGGAGAATAAGAATGAGAGAGAGAGAGAGAAATAAAAGAATCAATGATAAAAGAAGGAGAATAAGAATGAAAGAGAAAACGGGAAGGAAAATAAGAAGGAGATAAAAGAAAGGAGCATACGAATGAAAGACAAAAGAGGGGAAGAGAAGAATGAGAGAGAAAAAAAGCAGAATAAGAATTAAAGAGAAAAGAGGAAGAAGCAGAATGAGAGAATAAATAAGAAGGAAAATACAAATGAGAGAGAAAGAGAACTACGAATAGAAATGAAAGAGAAAAAAAAAGAAGAACCGTGAGAGAGAAAAGAGGCAGCAGAATAAAAATGAAGGAGTGTCATATTGGAAGAAAATAACTACTGACACCGAGGTTCGAGCATAATACTCTGGGCTTATAAATATATGTTTCCCGCCAGATGTATAAATAGCGGTGTCAGGCTACTGACTGCAGTGATTATTAAGTGACTACTGAGTGGAACTATCCAGTCGAATTAGTGTGAATTGTTGTGCGTTGATGATTTTGATTTTGATTTAGGATTTACCGGACGTTAAGCCAAGCCGCGCTACCAACAAGGTATTCACTAAAATGGTTAATTATCTTTTGATTGATTTCTTTGTTCTTGTTAAGTATTTATTTGCGGTTATAATTAAATACTGTTTTATCTTAACATTGAAGTTTTGAGTTATATTTAATTACTAATGGCCACCGTACGTCACAAAAAAAAGAGAAAAGAGGAAGGAGAGTAAGAATGAGAGAGAAAGATATCAGCGAATAAGAATGAAAGAGAAAGAAAAAAGAAACAAGAAAAGCGAATAAGAAAAAGAGATAAGACGAGAGAGAAAAAAAGAAATCGTGAATATTAATGAGGGAGAAAAGAAATAGAGTAAGAGAAAAGATAATGAAGGAGAGTGAAAAGAAAAATAAGTCAAAATTACATTTGAGGATTCAGTTTTTATGTATGTCCTTCTTTTCAAATACATTTTATGTCTTGTCACAATTCAAAAAGAAACGTTTAAAAGTACATGGCTTTTGAATTCTTTATCCATAAATTACTAAAAGAAGCGTCAAAAATGAACTTTTAAGAAAGCAGTTACTCATACATCATGATAGAAATAATAAAGATGGCAGCACAAATGGCGAAACAGGTCGGCTTGGATAACTATTGTGCTATGACGAGGCAACTTGAATTAAAAAGAATTGAGAACGCAAAAAGAAAGAGACGATAAAAATGTGAGATAAAAGAGAAAGGAGAAAAAGAAAGAGAGAGAAAAAGAAAACGAGAAAAAAAAGGCAATGACTGAGAGATAAAATAGAAAGAGGAGGAAAAGAGAGAATACAAATTAGAGAGTCCATAGAAAGAAGACAAAAAAGAAAGACTGAATAGGATTGAAAGAGAAAAGAAAGAGAGTAAAATAAAATAAAAAACTCCAATCTCTCGATCAGCGGCTTTGCTACTGGATGTAATTTAGTCATTTATCGTCATACCTAGAACATCACTCACACAGAAAATATAACCATTGCAAATGGAAGTAGTACTTACATAGCACTCTAGTGTTTTACTCAATAGACGTGTTAACTTTGTCTGTTTTTACATTTAATGATTTAAAAAGCAGAATTCTTTCTGACATGAGACACTATTGTCTCATGAGGCAGGTCGATATTGGAACCGTAATATTGCACTCAATTTGAAAGTTATCGTTTCACATGATTAATAACGACACAAAATATTTTTAATTTGTTACCGTCTTTTGAGGAAACGAGTTTAAAGATTATGTTTAGGTCCAAAATCATAGCGTTGGAATTTCATTCCGTTGATCAGTGAAACCCTTATAGCCCAGCCTTATAAAATGTATAATTTACTGAAGCTTTACAAATTGTATATGGATAAGATTCATGTCACACGCCTATTATTACTAAATCATTGTACCATCAAATAAGACCTTCATTTAATTCAAAGGGAAATTATACTGAATAATTTAGCTATATTATGATGCAATTTTGTCTATTAATTTGTGCTTAGCAGTTTTATGGTTTTATATACACAATTATCTATGTTTTATTTTTATTAATTACGATCTAACAAATATTCAAACAGATCTTATTCATTGAGTAGCCTTTTTGGAAATCTTTTACAATTTTTTACACATTTTTTGCTTATCGAATATTGTAAAAATATTACATATTTTGGTTGTGGTGATTGATATCAGAGAATTCTGGTTTGAATATATTTTCCATTCAATGTATCTAATACAAAAGAAATTAACTTTATTTGGATTTATCCTAGAAATAGTCAAAGAGAACAACAACCGAAATGTTGTATTAGCAACAACAATGATAAAGACAATATTCCGAAAGTAAAAGGTGTGAATAATGATAACTCCTCATTCCAGATTTAAACGTTTGTTAAGAAATCCTTTCCTTTCTTACAGGAATACGCGGAGATCAATAGATTCTTATATTTTCGTACAAGCTTGAAGTCTTCCATGTTATAAAGTAAATTCAGGTTTGTATTTCCAATAGATAGTATATAAGCAAATATATGGATATAGATTCGACAGTATGAAGAAAAATATACAGAAAAAACAAACAAAAATCTTAATATGCAATTATGCTGTATTAATGTTAATATAATGTCAACGTCGGACGTTTCGGTCTATTTTAGACCATCATCAGGACATATTCATTAAACATAATTAACACTAGAACATATTCAAATTCAATATGAAAAAGACGAGCACGACTAATCCAAACAGATAACTGAAAAATGTTTATATGAGAAAATTGTTCCATCAAGCTTATCTAATATTTTGAAATCATTTTTGATTTACTTTATAACATGGAAGACTTCAAGCTTGTATGAAAATATAAGAACCTATTGATCTCTGCGTGTTCCTATAAGAACGGAAAGGATTTCTTAACGAACTGTTTATATGAGAAAATAGTTCAATCGAGCTTATTTAATATTTTGAAATCATTTTTGATTTACTTTATAACATGGAAGACTTCAAGCTTGTATGAAAATATAAGAATCTATTGATCTCCGCGTATTCCTATAAGAACGGAAAGGATTTCTTAACGAACTGCTTATATGAGAAAATTGTTCCATCAAGCTTATCTAATATTTTGAAATCATCTTCGAATACGTTTTCACAACATCGCCCACGTGACGACGACGTGATCATATTAAAACGGAACGCTGATCTTATATAGAAAATTCGTGCTCTTATGTCCATCGTCTTTTTCATGTTGAATTTGAATATGTTCTAGTGTTAATTATGTTTTATGAATATGTCCTGATGATGGTCTAAAATAGACCGAAACGTCCGACGTTGACATTATATTAACATTAATACAGCATAATTGCATATTAAGATTTTTGTTTGTTTTTTTTCTGTATTTTTTTTTATATATATATATATATATATATATATATATATATATATATATATGGGAATAAGGTATAGATGACAAATTTACCAAAGTTCATTTTTTTTTTGCCTGCGGGAGCAAGTATTTTCGGATGAGGGTTTTCTCTCGTCGAACTCGTGTAAATTATTGTACGTCGATGATTTCGGTTTTGATTTAAGATTTACCAAACGTTAAGACGAGCCGCGCTACTAACAAGGTATTTACTGAAATGGTTAATTATCTTTAGTTGACTTTTACTTCTTTGTTCTTGTTAAGTATTTATTTTTGGTTGTAATTAAATACTATTTTATTTAACACTGAAGTCTTGAGTTTTACTTAATTATTAATGGCCACCGTACGTCACAAAAAAGAGGAAGGAGAATAAGAATGAGAGAGAAAGGTATCGGCGAATCAGAATGAAGAGGGAGAAAAAAAGAAAAAAGAAAAGCAGATGAGAAACAGAGGGAAGAGAGGAGAAAAAAAGAAAGTGTGAATATTAATGAGTGAGAAAAGAAATAGAGAAAAAGAAAAGCTAAAGGTGATTCACTCACCTCCTTTAGCTTTTCTTTTTCTCTATTTCTTTAGAAAAGAAAAATAAGTCAAAATTACTTTTGATGATTCAGTTTTTATGCATGTCCATCTTTTCAAAAACAATTTAATATCTTGTCACTATTCAAAACGAAACGTTTCAAAGTACATGGTTTTTAAATTCATCATCTATAAATTGCGAAAATAGTATACAAAAATGAACTTTAATGAAAGAAGTTGCTCATACATGATGGCAGAAATAATAAAAATGGCAGCACAAATGGCGGAACAGGTCAGCCTGAATAAGCATTATGCCATAACAAGAAAACTTGAATGAAAAAGAATTGAGAACGTGAAAAGAAAGAGACAATAAAAATGTAAGATAAAAGAGAAAGGAGAAAAAGAAAGAGAGAGAAAAAGAAAACGAGAAAAAAAGGCAATGACTGGGAGATAAAATAGAAAGAGGAGGAAAAGAGAGAATACAAATTAGAGAGCCAATAAAAGACAAAAAAGAAAGACTGAATAGGATTGAAAGAGAAAAGAAAGAGAGTAAAATAAAATAAAAAACTCCAATCTCTCGATCAGCGGCTTTGCTACTGGATGTAATTTAGTCATTTATCGTCATACCTAGAACATCACTCACACAGAAAATATAACCATTGCAAATGGAAGTAGTACTTACATAGCACTCTAGTGTTTTACTCAATAGACGTGTTAACTTTGTCTGTTTTTACATTTAATGATTTAAAAAGCAGAATTCTTTCTGACATGAGACACTATTGTCTCATAAGGCAGGTCGATATTGGAACCGTGATATTGCACTCAATTTGAAAGTTATCATTTCACATGATTAATAACGACACAACATATTTTTAATTTGTTACCGTCTTTTGAGGAAACGAGTTTAAAAATTATGTTTAGGTCCAAAATCATAGCGTAGGAATTTCATTCCGTTGATCAGTGAAAGCCTTATAGCACAGCCTTATAAAATGTATAATTTACTGAAACTTTACAAATTGTATATGGATAAGATTCATGGCACACGCCTATTATTACTAAATCATTGTGCCATCAAATAAGACCTTCATTTAATTCAAAGGGAAATTATACTGAATAATTTAGCTATATTATGATGCAATTTTGTCTATTAATTTGTGCTTAGCAGTTTTATGGTTTTATATACTTCGGAAATACGCACTTTTATTGCGCAGGAGGGTGTCGTCAGTGATGTAATTTCTCAGGTCATTGGGTAGTTTCGGGCCTTGCAACATCATACCATCCTCGCTGAGTCGACCCCTGTCAGAGCTGATCAGGCTCCGACGCACCCTCCTTCTATACCACGCTATGTGACACTGATTTTTATAATTGTCTCAGCCGACTTGTACTCGATACTAGCAGGATACACATAGGGAAAGTCCATAGCGCTCAGTAAGTTGGGTTATTCAAAAAGTCGGGAGGAAGAATTTTTTTTTTTTAGTTTTTAGGTTTATCTATTGAGAATAGTAATAATAAACCCCATCCAGAATGACTGTAGGTTAACCGATTAAAATAAATGTACTTATAAAAATTTGAGTACAATAATCTACATCTATATACGTTTATACAGTTGAAATGCCACTATTAAATTATCCCAAGCCAAATAACCCCCCCACCCTCAATAAAAAAATTTTTTCCTTTTTTCCTGTATTACAATTTAACATTACTTTCGGTCTAAAACTATGTACAAGACAGTAATTCCCTAATCCCCTGAAAAAATGAGTTTTTGCGAAAACTTAGAACCACGAAAAAAAAAAAAATATATAGAAAGAAAACATCGACGTGTGCGCATGTATACCCACAGACACACATACAAATACACACACACACACACACACACACACACACACACACACACACACACATACTCAAGCGCTGTTCTTAAAGTTAAAATTCCGCCGGCCAATAAACTACCCTACGAAAGATAAATAACTAATATACCCCGCCCTAAAAGACTGAAGGTTTGACGTGTAAAAACTAAAAGGAAGTTATACGAGCGGGAAAAAAAAAATTTTTAAATAAAAATAAAATTGTCGTTTAAAATGAAATTTCACCAATTACCCCCCGAAAAGCTAAAATGAAAAAAATAAGTAAAAAAGGGGTTGGCAGTAATGATAATCCCCGAACGACTGGCGCTTAAACGATTAAAATAGATGAATGCCAATTTTCGTTAAATTCCATCAGTATATGAATATACAGATTTGTTGCTTATATACATATATATACATTTTGCTTTCCGTTGAAGTGGCAAATTTTAGATTTATGTACAATTTGATCAATGCAAACGCATAGTTTAGATTGAAAACAAAAGATAATTAAACAAAGAGAAAAAAAATAGCACAAGCAAGGGAAATTCAGCAGTAGTAAAAGCTTCGAAAAGA